CATCAAGAATCTTTACCTATTAAAGGTGAAATTGATGAAATAGCGGATCGAATTAGGGCTCTTCGAGCAGTTTGAACACAGATTCTTCGAGCAAATTTTCGAGTCAAAATCAACCCCCTATATCTTGTTTTTTGAACAAATTGAAAGATAGATATGGTAAAGAATTCGATTATGATTCAAAACCCTCAGCTTTCATCAATAATCGTTACCTATTAAAGATGAATTAACGAAATGACGGATCAAATTAGGGTTATTCGAGTAGCTTGAACACAGGTTCTTCGAGCAAATTTTCGGGCCAAATTCAATACCCTATATCTTGTTTGTTGAACAAATTGAAACATGGATATGGTAACCAATTTGATTATGATTAAAAAATCTCTAATTTAATCAATAATCGTTACCTATTGAAGAAGAAATTAATGAAATGGCAGAATAGAAAATCCGCCACTTCAATCCACAAGAACTATAGTTTTTTTAATCTTTGATATGAATTTTGTTGCTTTATAAAAAATCAATAATGGTTTACAACTATAAAGCATCAAAAATGCCAAAAAATGGCAAGGAAATCGAATAAAAAAAGCAAGAAAATTTGATTCATAGATCCTGTTGCAAATAACGAGCTCTTTTTTTATCCAAAACGCCGTTTTAACATAAAATCGGTCCAGTTAGATCAAAACCGGCCGATTAGAAATAAATACGGCCGGTTCAACCCCAAAGAGGTTAGTTTTGGACCCGATATTTTTCTGAGAGATGGATCTAAGTATTGGTACCCAAAACCGGCCTAACCGGAGTAGGAAACATGGTGGTTCCGATCTAACCGGCCAGTTTCGGTTCAAACCAGTCGGTTTTGCGAACACAGGTTCTGACATCGAATCGACCAAAGAATATCAAAAAAATAAAAATTATATTTAATATGTTGTCCAATGTTTAAAACATAATACTACGGTAAAAAAAAAAATAAAAATAAATAAAAATAAAAAAAAAAGAGGAAAGGTAGGGGGAGCATTTGCGTAAATACTGCATATTTTTGGACAAGACCGTAATAATGGTAAAAAATAGTCCAAACGTAAATTCCCCTTATTATTACCAATAGGCATCTTTAACGGTATATTTTAGTGCTTTTTTGTGTCCGCTATATATAAAACGCTACATATAAATAGAATTTTACCGATCTCGATAATATCAATGATAGGTTGTAATTAATCAATTTGGGACACATATACTATGCTCTCATGGGAGCATAGTTACTTCTACTCCCTCGGTCAATAGACCTTCTTAGGAGGAATTTTTCAATCTGAAATTTTGGGAGCCACTTAAAAACTACTTGATGATTATTTTCACAAAAAAACAAATTCAAATTTCAGTTTACTAACACATATCTCACCATCTTAAAATTGGAGGATCTCTATTCAATCAAAAGACTTTTTTCTTTTTTCTTTTTTGTAGGCACATAGAGGGTATAATTAGGGATTTTTTATTTTATTTTATTGAGGTTAATTTACAGATTGAAGAGGTTACGTCCCCAAAATATGAAATCTTAAAATTGATTCTAGTTGAGTTTTAACCAAGGGAGTAAATGAACATTCTACTCCCAAAGGAGTAGAATATCTTTTGGCTTAAATGAATATCTACGATAAGATTGCCACCAAGATACCATTTGCATCGCAAATAGTTTGTGTCAAGGTCTAATATTTTGAAAACAGGTGAAGTACGCCCATGATTTTAGGTCCAATCGAAGTTCATTTATATAGAGCCAAGGCTCTAAACAATTAGAGTCCACCTCAAAAATCTCACTAGAAGAGGTTATTTTGATTCTCAAATATATTTAAATTGATCATCTCGACAACAAGATGCATGGACATAAGAAAAGATTGGATTTCAAGTTTTGGAAA